AACACGCCCATCCAGAAGCACACACACTCATGCATGCACACCATCTCCTTTATTTTGCCTTGGCCCTCCTGGGACTGGAAGTGATGATGATCTGCAGTAATTGAGGAAGACGTGTGTTGAATGCAGAAGCAGAGAGGAGGTACTGGAGGGCGGAGGAAAGTGTAAACTGCTGATGCAGATTCTGTACCAAAATGCCTCTTGGTACCTATAATTGACAGCAAGTCAGACTCCCATGGGTTGATAGACATGAAAATCTCTAGATTGTAGTGCACCAAGTCTTTTTTTTTTCTCCCCTCTCTGCCTCTAGCAACTAAAGACAGCAACGCATTGCAATAGTAATTGCTAAAGTTTACTCTATAAAGAATACTCAGGCTTAAGAGATGATAAAAACTCAGCGCAATGGCTAAAATTCTTGTTAAAAGTAACACAGATATAAAAGTGGATTTTCCAGTTTTCTCCTTTGTATGTGTGTGTATGGGTGCATGTGTAGATGTGTATGTGAGTGTTAGGCCACTCAGGGGAATGTGTTTTATATGCTAATTTTGTTAATGTGTATAAGCTGCTCCAGCCCATTCTCATTAGGTTTTCATTAGTCTCCTTTTATGGAAATGCACAGTGACTATAGTGCCGAGCATCGCACCATCCTGCCCGGCTGTGTGACGGTAAAGGGAGCCGTTTCCTCCGCCCGTCTCCGTCACCGAGCCCTGTAGACAGATGGATCGATCTATGGAAATGTTATCAAAAAAAGTTTGCAAATCAGCCCGGTGTTGAGATTTAATCTTGTTTTTCTTAACACAAGTGACTAAAGATAAAGTGAAGTGGAAAAAAAGGAAAGTGAGGGCGATTAAGCCCTCTGTGTTTTTTTTAATGTAGTCTTCACCTGACAGTTTTCAACAACTTGTACTCTCAACTGTACTCTGATTCACTGGTACTGATCAAACAACATGTCAGCGACAGCAGATGCATCAAGATACAATCAAAGTACTCTGTTGGTGCAGCGATACAGCGCTCCCAGCGCCTCTTCAATGCTTCTAACGCTCTCTAGAAGTCTCGCGATATCCGTATGTATGTATGTTAAGCACCCTCTGTGGTGGACATCTAATTTCCTGTGTCAAAACTGAGATCCTTCAGCTTGAGCAACTTGTATTTTTTGCAAGAATTCACAGGAACCAAAAAATAATGAGCAGGATGATAGAGAGTGAGTGGATTGAGCCATTTGTGGTCAAGGAACCCATGTTGAGCTTTGTGCACATGAACCATCCTGAAACTTTTTGATCACATCTCATATAGACTAATGTAGAGGATAGGACTTAGCCTGCAAAGGAAAATTTTGAAATTGTTGTTTTGTATTTTTGATTTGAACACGATATTAATTCCATCCGTGTCCAATACAACGGTAACAATGGCCTTTATAGTCTACCTTTGTAATAAACTGCAAGCAGTAGGAAACAACAAAAATCGATTCCTTTGCAAAACGTTCAGAGGTGATGCATGTGTATTTGAAACGTGTATAAATATGAAATGTTAGAGTTGCAGTTAGTTGTGTAGTTAGCAAATGCATTGGAGCCATTTACCAACAACAGCTGGGTCCAGGGACTGAACGCAGCATCTCAGAAGTTCTTGTGACACTGCTGCCTCTGCATGACTTTATAACTCTGAGCAAAACCCAGCTGACTCTTGTATTAGTGGTTAGCTTGTTAGCTGAATTTGACTTATTGCAACACTGTTCATAGAAGTTATAGTGTAGCAAGCCCAGATATTTACTCGTAAGCCTTTTTCAGACATACCATATGTAACATTGGTGTTAAAGAGATGCCATTCTGTTTTTCTGACATATAATTGTATGATGATGTTTTTTGCTGATTCATTCAGACTTACCCCTGATAGTGACAGAGACAGCCCCGATATTTGACATGTGGGTGAAGTTACAGTATGTCAAGGTTCAAGGAGCAACTACTTATCCCAAGACGAAAGCTGAAGTAAGAGCAAGCTTAGCAAACTGTTCGAACGCTGTGGATAACTAGAAATCAGTAACAGCAAACACAGTCAATGCTTGACAACCACCCTATTTTAACCGTTACAATAATGCTACCACAAAGACAATATAACTCACCCGTGCTCATTTTTTACTTGTTCCTTTGTGACACCATTTAATCTATGTGCTCGTCCATTAACGTGACGGCATGTGGTTCGAACTTGTGCCGTGTTGTGACATGTAGCCAACATGCTCAGATGTTGTCAGATTAATTTAAACGAGTGCACGTCTGAATGAGACTTCAGGTTATGTCCATCGCCAAATTATTGGTTTTTCTCCCAAGAAGATTGGACACTGCACATTGTCGTCCACGACTGTGTCGTCACTCATGCAGGAAATTGACGCAGCGATAGATCTTCTCTCACTCTCCTCTTGTTCTCTTTCAACCTGTAAAGCATCAGACAGACTGAGTGAATATAGGCGCGACTACTAGAGTCCAAAATGTGCGATAAATTTAACAAAAATCACGACACGTCTTCATGCTGTCCTGCAGCATTTTTAAAAATGTGGACATTTTAATTAAGACTTAACTGCTCACGATTAAAATATCAACGCGGGCTGACCTTTGTCTTGTTAAAATTCAAACTTTCTGGCACACCTCTGCTGTTCTACTAGACAGCAGGTGTGAATGAGACGACGTGCACTGATTGGCTACAACCGCCTAAGCTGCTACATGATGGAGGGTAGATTAAACTTCAGGGATGACACCTTCTTACTGATGGCTCAGGACTCCCTGCATCACTCAGGAGCGACAGCGTGCTCAGGGACGGCTTGTTATTGTTGATTTTTCATTTCGCACTTTAAGTTTTCTTGTCAGAGATAATCAGACTCAGACGAACTTCATTAGCGATGCTTCAGCTCCGGCCCTCTGCGCGTCCCGGTCACAGAAGTGGATCTGTGTTTCCGTGTATCTGATAATTAACACTGCAGATGTGTAAATTAAGAAGGTGGGGAGGGGGGGTCGTCCAGGCTGATGGGAAAGTACTGAAGGCAGCAGGGAGGGGGGAGGACAGTAATCCTGTTGATGACAAAAGTAAGGTGTGACTCTGCTTTCAGGCATCTCTCTCCCTCTCTTCCTCTCTCTCTCTCTTATATCCTCTTTCCTTCAAGTGAAGCAGTGTCCCGTGAAATTGGGCTCTAAATTACGAGACTGGTGTACTCTGTGTGAGGGTTTTAAAAACGACCCGCTCTGCCGCTAAGGACATCGAGTGGACCACAGCAGTCAGCAGCAGGCGGCTCGCGGGGCCTGACTTTGGTTTCGAGACCGGTCCGGTGTTGATAAGCGCCCACAATGTTTCCCTTTATCACCTTGCGGAGGATGAGACGGTTATATCGGCCTCATCGCTGTCATCATTATCAGCTCGGGCCCGTGACAGAGATGGTGACGATTTTGGAGTCAGAGTTATAAATCAGAGCCGTTTCCCCTGTTTGTCTTGCTCTCCTCTACCTCCCCCCAATAAAAGATTGTCTTTATTTGAATAATAAGGCGCTTATCTCGGTGAGTTACTTTTCTGCCGGCCGCTACATTCCCTCAATATCTCTCCGTCTACCTCTTCCCCCTCTCTGCTTTGTCTTTAATCATACAGCCTCCCCTCATTCAGTTTTTATCTGCTGTCCTGGCCCTCACCTCTCCTTGTCCCTCTTTCCCTCCACTGAAGAGAAAGTACAGATATTGGATTCTTAAATATAACTCAGGCCATCTTTTTTTTTCTTTTCTCCATCATACTGATGAGTTTGCACTACAAATTTCATCAACTGTGTCACCGTAGAGCTGTATGCATCTCGCTTGAATGGGTCCGGCTCTGCAGTATAGTGCTAGTGAGCCATTTCCGAGATATTAAACTTCCCTGAAGTTGAAAATGGCACTTGTAAAATCTCTGTGTTGTCTTATTAATTTCATGTTTTCTCCAGCAAAGGTCGGTCCTTCTTGTATTATGGTTCCAGTGTGAAGAAACCCATCAAGAAATGGCAGGAGTTCAAACCCAGACATTCAGTTCTTCATAGATTTATAGTGAGCAAATTCATCTTTGTGATGGAAAAGTATGCGGTTGTGTTTTTAATACGCCTCTCCTTGAGCCCCGGTGTTGATCCTAAAATACAAATCTGAAAGCAATGCTGGTTATTTTCACTCCTGAAGGAGTCCGTCACTGTTGTCGCAGCTTTGAAAGGACTGATCCGGGTCATCAGTTACAGTAGAACGTGCATGTACCTCCTTGTCCCAGATGGAAATATGCCCTCCCATATGTTTGAACCCGCCCCAAATGTTGCGCTCGCTAGTAACGTATTGAAGGGGCCAGCGTTGCAGCCGATTGGCCGATCCTCTGCTCGGAGGGGTGTCGGGCAGAAAAAGCCATTTGTCAGCAGTATCTGCCACTCAGGCCGAAGCCAACAAGATGTGGACAAAACTCAATTTCAGCATTAATGGAATAATACCACGGTTAATGTGCCGTCTACTGGAGCAGAACACGAGGTCAGCTCAGGGTCAAACCTTTGGATGCTGGCTGGGTGGGGGAACCACGTGGGCAGAGTCACAGTCATGGCTAATTCAGGCGTCCACGGTGGTGATGTTGAATTAAAAATAATTGAATTGTCCAGCAGCTCTGTAGCGTTATTACGTGTCCCAAACTGTTAAAGATACAAGATGATACAAGTTTAGTTTCAGTAGATATCATTAATTGCTGATCATTTTTAATAAGGACCTACAGAACATTTTTTTGTTTATAACGTAAACACTTTTGCCTATTTATCAAAGAACACAGTTAGGTATTTCATTTTAATTGGGATTTGTTCATGCAACTTTTGTGCTTTCATGATGGTGAAACTATTGAATAATTTTCTTCTTGCTGCTCATGAAGCGTCAATCATCTGCACATACCGCTAATGTTTTACTGCCGTACATTTGTCTTCAATTCTAAACTATGTCAATAAGATCTTGGGATTTTAATGTGTATTTCTTTCCTTCCAGGGTTACTTCCTGCTGTTTGAATCCATGCTGGACTCTGTCCTGTATGCCAGAGACCTCTACTTGGCTGACGGTGGCTCAGGTAGGTCACTATTCTTGAGGTGGCGCAATCCCTCATAACATCAAAGTCTGCGTCTTTATCAGCTAAAGCGACCTTCAGACTGATGTGTTTTCAATATGTTCTTCAGAAATGTCTCAATTTCTTCTAATGAGAGTTTTCTCTACACACATGCATGTGAATGGCCCAAGAATGTTTTATTACTTTAAATGCCATTTTACGTACCACTGGGGTCATGCAGTGTGATTCTCAGACCACGTCATCTGTCAGCAGGGAAAATCTGTTCATGTTCAGTCCTGTGTGTTTTTCAAATACTTTAGGGAATGACTGGAATAGTTTCCCTGTATTTCTCACTGAGTATGTCCACATGAAGGTTTTGTTTCCCCTTTAAAGCTACTACTGGAGGGTTCAACCGTCTAATCAGAGCAGTTCTCAGAGGTGGCTATGAGGGGAACAATTCAAACAGTAGCTCACCTCAACCTGACACACTTCTGGTTTAAGCAACAACGTGTCTCCTGTGTGGCCGGCCTAAATGTAAAGGGAAAACACACACATTAGCTGACTTTGGGTTCTGTTCTTTCTCTTTTCCTCTCAGTAACAACTTAGCTCCACCACGGCAATGTTGGTTTGACAAAAAAAAAAAGAGATGCTTTTGATGAGATATGTGGTGCAAAAAGACTTGACACATAAGGAAAGACCTTTCTCCTGGGTCATCCCATCCCTGTCACAGAGCAGATTTAATGACTTGTGCCAAATGTGACCCAGCTGAGGAACGGTTCCACCACACTGCCTTTAGTGGCTCCTTGGGACACCAGAGAAGGGTCGCACTCAGAGGGACAGCAAGAGTGACGGGGCCTATAGAGACGGATCGGTTAGCAAGGGAGATGGGACAGGCCAAAGTGTGACCCGAGCGAGGCGAAAAAGATGCAGGTCAGGGGAAAGCGTATGGTGCGTCATGAGCCTTTAGCCCAACACGGGCTGATCTCACTGGATCTGATGCACACC